TTTGGCTCTCCCACTCAATAGTCTCAAGATGATCAATCTCATACCACAATGATTTCAAGGTGGAGAAATATACTGACACAGGTTTCTCCCCCTATTTAAGGTTCTTCACTTCCATTTTCAGTTCATAGGCTCTAGAACCATTAAGGGGGTGAGAATAGGTTTCCTTCATATTGTCCAAAATCTCCTTGGCTGTCTTTGCCCAAAGATAGTTTCTACTGATATGAAGCTGCATGGAATTGCATAACCAAGTCATAACCATATAGTTTTCTTGAACCCCTTTAGCAAGGGAAGGGTCCTCCTATGCTGGTTTCTTTGTGTCTCCCGTCACATACCCTAGTTTTTCCCTCCCTCCAATGGCCATCACAGCTGATTGGGCCCATTCCAAATAGTTTGATCCATCAAACTTGACTGTAGTAATCTGAAATGAACTGTTATCAGTAGAGTTTACATCTCCAACAAGTCCATCTCCATTTGGTTTGTTCTCATTTCCAGCCATTTCCATGCTGAAGTGGTCCAAAAATGAACACTGAATGAGGGGTACAGCATTGCTCAAACTCCTCTTCTAAGCAGAAATTCCAGGTACTGACCAACAGTACCCATTCAGAAGCAGAGAACAGTTCGTACTGGTAAAGGGACCTTTTTACAAACACAAGGTGGGCAGTAGAGGAGACCACACTGTCAAAAATAAAAACAGCCCAGAGAACAGTCCGTACAGGTGCCCAAAAACAGTCCAAGAAAAACATTAACCAGAAGTACTGATTCCAGAGATATTTCAGCCACTTGACAGTCCAAAAAAGTATGGAAACAACCCAGAAATTTCTGGGCTAAAGCAATCTAAAAGAACAGCCGAATAGCTGTACTAGTTCAAAGAATTTTCGGACACTTTTAACAGTCCAGAACAACAAAAAACAACCCAGACACTACTGGTCACAACTCTCAATCTCTGACTTAAGCTCTAAATCAGAAACCAACCTGTTTTCTCCGGTTCTTCCTGGTCACCAGACAACTCTCCAAGAGATTTGAATCTTGGGCACCTTCTACGATCTCCAATGACCTCCAAGAACCAGGCGACTCAATCTGAAACTTCCAGCCCTAGAACAACTCTCATGTAGTCGGCCAGTCAACACCTACATAAGAGCTCAAGCCAGGTCCAGGCCTGCTCTGGTACCAAGTTGTCTGAAACCAAGAAGGTTCAGAGCTGTCTAGTAAGAAGAATAAACCAGAAAATGAAGAGGAGAAAAAGGAAAAGAAGAGAAGAGGATGAAAAGAGAGGAGAAGAGAAGAAGAGGAAGAGAGAATAGAAAAGATTGTGAGGGTTCGGCTAGCTTAGTCTACCGCTCGAAATGATGTTTAAAATATAAGGTTTTCAACATTAAGTGTACAATGACAGGAATGCCCCTGTCACAAGAAACAACAGAAAAAAAGATTCTAACAGCACTATAAACAAGAAAAACATATGAGCAGGTGAGGACCACAAGATGGTCAACCATTTTCTCTACATCTAGCATAAGACATGTTAACCCAACATCCCAACTTTCATTACCATTTGTTCTTTATGTTCCTCAATTCCCTTTCAATCTTATGTCTATGAGTAAGCTTACAAAGTCACTTAATTGTTTTGTTACCTTTTTCCTTCTTATTGTGTGTTTCAGGACTTAAAGACAAAAAGGCAGATTGGTGGAGTTGAATCGGGTGGCTTTTACTATTTACAAGGTGGCTTAGGACATACTACCCTTCAGTCTTCTACTTTTGATGTGTCTCCTTTTCAACTTCATTGCCGGATAGGTCATCCTTCAGTGTAGAGTCTTCATGTCATGGTTCCTCCGCTTTCATCCAACACTAGTTTTGAGTGTAATTCATGTCAGCTTAGCAAGCATCATTGAGCTGTTTTTTCTCCTTGGGCACTAATTGTGTATGTTGATATGATAGTTATAGGAAATGATTTAGAGGAAATCAAAAGGTTTAAATAGTTTTTGGCCTCAAAATTTGAGATATAGGACTTAGGATCTCTAAGGTACTTTTTAGGTATAGAGAAAATCAAAAGGCTTAAATAGTTTTTGGCCTCGGAATTTGAGATAAAAGGACTTGGGATCTCTAAGGTACTTCCTAGGTATAGAGGTGGACGGGTCTAAGGAAGGAATTTATATTTGTCAAAGTATGCCTTGGATCTCCCAATACGATCTCATTTGTTGGTCTTTGACCATTGTTTATTGTTTGAGAGTTATGGAAGGAACGCAATAGGCATCGATGGGAAGGGAGATTTGTCTGCTCCTATACAGTTATTCAAAGAATAATCCTTTGGCTTAGAGAGATTCCTTTCACATCTAAAGTTTGGAAGATGGTGTCTAATAACCAAAGGCTCTCCCTTAGTTGCCTTCATCTTCCTATTCTCCAAGTTCAGTCGGTGAGGTACAGTTTGGTTTGTGTTCAGCCCCCTTATCTTGGCTATGTAAAATTAAATGTTAACGGTGCTTCTCATGGGAATCCCGGGGTCTGTGGAGGAGGAGGTGTAGTTCGGGCAAAGAGTGGTGATTTCATTTCTGCTTTTGCAAATTTTTATGGTGAGAACTATAATTTGTATGTTGCATCCCTGGCTCTTCATGGTGGTATAATGCTGGTAAGGTCTCTAGGTTATCGACGTGTTCACATCTTTTCGGACTTGTAGATTTTGGTTAATATGGTCAATCTCAAGTCTTCTATGCCTCATTATCTCTAGTATTGGGAGAATGAGCTTTTTGGGACATTGGAAGACATGGACTTTATCATTCAGCATGTGTTCAGGGAAGGTTCAACTAGTCGATGCCTTTGCTAATCTGATTAGCAACCCTCAGTGATTTATGATGCCCTTCTATCCATACCCTCTCATGTTCATAGGATTTTTTATGACGATAGTTATGGTCTCCCTCATATTTGAGCTTTTTTTTTTATTTTTCCTCATTTTTGGATCTGTTTATTGTGGTTGTATATATTTATAAGCCGAAAACTTGATGTACAGATTTTCTTGAGGGGTAAGGTTTTTATGTCCTCCCTCATAGGTTTTATCTTGATCATTATTTTAATAAAATTTATGATGGTCACCCTCGATTGAGAGTAAAATTTGGGGCTAAAAAAATATCTCCTAAAGGAGACAATGAAATTGGAAAATAGGCCTATTGAAACCCCTATAGAGCAAAACCATTGATTACAAGTAGACCTGTTCATGGGCCGGGCTCGGACTTGGCTTTTGTCAAAATTCTAATGGGCCTGGCCCGAAGCCCGAGCCTGAGGCAGTGTAAAGTTGGGCCTGAAGCCCGGCCCGTGAACAAGTCTAATTACAGGAAAATGATGAGGAACTTTACCCAAACAAGGAAAGATACCAATGACTTGTGGGTAAACTTCTCTGTCTCTCACTAGACCTGATATTGCATATGTTGTCCATGTTATGAGCCAATTTATACATTCTCCTCGAGCTTCACACATGAAGGCAATGGAAAGAATTTTGAGGTACTTGAAGACATATCCAAGTAGAAGCCTATACTGATGCTTATTGGGCTGAGTTTGTTGGTGATAGGAGATCTACAATTGGATGTTGCACATTTGTAGGTTGTAATTTAGTAACTTGGAGAAACAAGAAACAAACCATGGTGGATCGGTCAAGTGATGAAGCGGAATACCGAACCATGGCACATGGAGTTTCTGAACTTCTTTGGATCAAGATACTCCCAAATGAACTGAGAATTGTCATGTCTGGTCCTTTGAATATCTATTACGATAACCAAGCTGCAGCAAACATTGCTAACAATCCTATCCAGCATGATAGGACCAAACACATCAAAATTGTAGACACTTTGTGAGAGAAAGGGTTGTGTCTGCAGAACTATGTAGTCCTTATATTCTCTTTGCAAGACAAGTTGCTGATGTCTTTACTAAGGATCTTGGTAGAACTAGATTTGGAGAATTAGTATGTAAGTTGGGAATGATGGACATCTATACTCAGCTTGAGGGGGACTGTTGTGGGACTTAATAAGTATGGACTTCAGCCCATTTATGTTATGTCATACTTTGTTCTGTTATGTTGTAATGGCCTTCCTTATTTTAAGTTATATTACTGTACACTAATGGGGGATATGTCATCACTAAGATGGATTGGTCATGTGCATAGAAGACCTTTGACACCACTAATAAGAAGTGATCTTTTGCAAGTTGAAGGGACTAGAAGGGGTAGGGGTGGACCAAAAAGGGCATGGATCAAAGTAGTAAGAAATTATTGAAATGCTAATAATTTAACAATGGATATGACATTAAACAGAAATGAATCAAAGTAGTAAGAAATGATTTAAGTGCTAATAATTTAACAATGAATGTGGCATTAAACAGAATGGAATGGTGAAACAGGATTCATGTAGCCAACCCTGTATAGCTGGGATAAGGCTCGGATGATGATGATGATGATGATGAAAGTGTTATTTGTAACTCTGTTGTCTGCTTGTATGAGTTGCTACAAACAAGGTGACCAAATCTATCAAGTTATTTAGCCTTTATTTTTATGCTAGCCAAGATTGTATACTTGATATTCTATGTTTTTCTATCTCTTTATTGCATACTTTGTAATCTTTATTAGTTTATACATGAAACTATGAAACTGCATCCATATCTTAAATTTAGAACATATCTTTTTTGACTGACTTGACCAGTCACCATATTGCCTAGAGAGACCAGAAGATTAGTCATTGCCTCACTGCATTAGTACTCTGATGCTAGCCTTCTTGTTTGCCTATATCTAATTACTTTATTTGGTTAGGTTGATAATGCTCATATAGCATAGGCTATCATAATATATTTAGCATTAAAGTATTGATGCATAAGAAATATGAAATGAGGTACTTTACAAATTTTATTAACAGATAATAAAATTCCTTTCCAGCAAGCTTATTAGTTATTTCTCATATAGGGGGTGGTAGTGTAAATAAGGCCCAATCCATCCATTTTGCTTATATAATTTATTATTGTTCATATTAAAGGGAAATCTTGACAATGCATCTCCAAATGCCGGTTATGTACTGCTAAAGTTTTACCACCTTTATGAGGGCAAGGTATGATAATTTTGCTATCAATGGAGTGTTTGTTAAATATATTTAAGCATTTTCTCATCTTCTTCCTTGTTGTACTGCTTTTCTAGAATCGTAAAGAATTTGAGAGTAATTTGGTTCATCGGTTTGGTGCACTTGTCAAGATGCCGTTGCTCAAGGCAGATAGGTTAGTAGACTTCTTATATACTTGATAATGGATACTTGAGCAGTCTTTGTTGTCAAGATTTTTCTGATGACACTCATTCTATAGATTTATAGGGATTTTTCTTTGTTAATGAACCAAGCAGAGATTGTCATTCCTCCCATAAGGGGCATGATTTGCATCTCCCTCCATGTACCCAAACTTACTGATTTACTAAAATCAATTTATTCAAATGCTTAGAAAGCAAAAAGGGTTGTAATAGAAAAAGAAAAAAAAAAAACTTGATATTTTTCAAATGTATGAATTGTGAGAGGTAGGACTGGGGTTTTGTACAACTGACCGGTTCCATTCTCCAGTGAAAGTTATGTGTATCTCTAGGGATCATATTTATGGATTTCAAATTTATAATTTCAGAAGCAATGTGAGGGTGGGCCTTGGCACAACGGTTGGGTTGCTCCATTGCAACCTGGGTGACCAAGGTTCAAATCTTGGAAACAGCCTCTTTGCATGTGCAGGGGTAAGGCTGCATAAATCTGTCCCTCCCCAGACCCTGCATTGATGTGAGCCTCATGCACTGGCTGTCCTTTTAATTTCAGAAGGCTTGTGGGTGAGTAAACTTTTGCCTTTCACCTTTTAAATCTAAATCATCCAGAAACTTGCCTACAGATGCATTTATCCAACAGCAAGAGGACTTGATGTCTTTCTCGTATCAATAAACCACTATAATATCCAGATATCATTATAAGGGTGTTGCATCATGTTGGATACTTCAATTTTAAGTGTAAATTTTGTATCCAATACCATATCCTGTTGTGCCCATGCTGTATTTGGCTAACATAAACAAACCATTTATAACTTGTAGTTTTACTCCAAAAATCCTTAATGATAGTTTCCTATTTCATATCTATATTTCACAACTTCACATTTTCCTTTCAGATAATGAAATTATGGTAGTTGCAGCTCAATTTTGATGCAAGTCCAGTTTCCCTCTAAAGTTACTAAGAAAACTATCAAATGTAACTTTTCCTGAGAAGTATTTTGCTTCATATTTGCCTTACATTTTAGAGTCATCTTGTGAACATGCAATTACTTCGTATTGTTGTCATTAATCTTTCTTTCATTTTAATCACTTTCCCCCTTTTGATTGCATATGCATTTACATTTGCAGGAGTCCTTTACCTAATCCTGTTAAATCAATATTAGAGGATGGGTTGACTCTTTACAGGCTTCATATATTCAAGCATGGAAGGTAATTCAACAGGTTTAGTAATTAGCAGGGCAAAAAACAGTCTTCCTGTCTTTAGATCAATCTACCAAAATACAAAAGCTTATTTTTATCTGTAACTTGTGATTACCTGGCGGGTTGATATGTTTTAGTTTACTTCTATATTCTACTAGATACACAAGCACATAAAAAAGCTCTGCACCATGTGCCTCATAACTTGGGGTGATAAGGGATGTCATGGACCAAGAAAACTGATGAGTTTTAAAACTCAGCAATGCTTATTATCAAACCTTGGGTGTAGCAAGCCATTTCAAATCTAACAATTTCCTTCTCTTGATGTGGATTGGTTGTAATTTAGAATTAGAAGTTTATATTAAGTTTGCGCACTCATTGTGATGAAACACTATCAACAAAGTAAAATATAAAATGTTGTTGTCTTGTTAATACCAAGATTTTAAGTCTAATTTCGTAGAGGCCCTTATTGTTATCCATTTGACAATTACATTTACTATTCTTAAAATTCTTGAACTTAGATTGGATTCCACTAGAGGACCATATGCAATGGCGTGGGCTAACTGGGAGAAGCAATTAAGAGAAAGCCTGATTGGAAATGCAAATTATCTTAGTTCTGTTCAGGTAAGTATCCATATTTAGTTTCTTTGTGGTTTTATTTTGCTGATCTTATTAATTGCTATGTTGTGTGGAGTATGTTCAGTTCCATCAATTGGTAATCAACTGGCGGAGATATAATTACTGTAGTAGTTACTCCTAATCTGTTTCTAGTTATGACAACCTCTCCCATCTCCACCCCCTCCCCT